CATTTCTCGTTGATTGCAATTTGGGATCACATGTTCAAGGGACACCCACTGCTGATCCGCTGGGTGTATTAATGTGGGGTCAACATGAAATCGTTTCAGATTACCAAACGGAACCTGAACACAGTCATTTGTAGAGGAATCCCCTCTCAACCCCTTTTCCGAGGCTTTACAATTAGGGTCAAGGGTCTGCCTTCTGTTGAGGGTGCTATGGGTACGCTTCCTTCTGGTTTCATGGCTTCAAGGGAAAACCAAAAGGAAAACCCACCATTTTGGAGGTGTCCAACCTTCAAACGACACACCCAAAACCACTTGTGAAGGGCCATCTGGATCCGCCTCCCTGGTGTCAGGTGTGTCTTTCTTTAATTAACAGCGTTTGTAAAGGGAATGCTACAAGGAAACTATCGGGGGGCCCCCAAGCCCGTAATTTGACCTAGGCCTTCTTTGGAGAGAGGGAGGTGTGGGAGTTGGGGATTTGGATCATGTGGGCTTGGCCGCCTTTCCGCCGCCAAATCTCAGAGCCGTCCGGAGTTCCGGTCGCCGGAAACGGTCGCGACAAGATGCCATGGCTTACAGGCACGGGCGGAGCCCACATGCTTCGGAAGTCCAATGGGATGTGGGTTCTCGGAGGTGTTTGCTGAGGTACTCGGCTGTCAAGGGAAGCCAACAGGAGACAAGGTGATACCTGGGATCTACATGAATCACGGGCTCACGAAACTGGGCTGTTCGAACCAATTGCTGAATGGGGGTCCAATTCCAAAGACAAACACTAGAACATATGCGTTGGAAGTGACGGTGACTTTCAAACGAGCTCAAGCCCGTAAGGTCCTTCACTCGAGCGGGGAGCGTTTATGTCAGGTTTGGCGGAAAGTGACCTTTATCGATACAGTTTGGGGTCAAAATAGTAGTTGGGGGGCGGGGGGCAGTAAAATTTGCAGTGAGTTTTTCACTGTCTGAGTTCAAGAGAATCACGGAAATCAAGAGAAGTTGTTAACGTTTTGTCCTTTGGATTCTCTTCGAAGCCTGCTTTAGTTTCAGGCCAAGGCCACTAATACGCCCTCCAGGAGATGGTCCACTTCCTCCTTCAGAAGGGCCCTTGCCACCACAAGAGAAATTGTATGCCTCATGGACATCAAGTCCACCCGTTCGGGAGTAAAACGAGCGAGGACCCCAACTTGAAAGCTCTCAGGCTTTGGACGGACCTACTGTATGACGGAAAGCTCCCCAAACCGCCCATCTTGCCAGGAAATACCGTCCAAGATAAACACTTGTCAGGCCTTCCCCCCTTCCGTGTATTCCAAGCTGATTTGCAGTTGCTCAGAAAAACTTCAGTTGTTTGGTGTCTGTTTAGCGGGTATTGACCTTAGTTGGTGGTTTACATTCGTGGCTTAGGGGGAAATGGGGGCAGCTTGCCGTTGACAAGGGGTCCACCGGCTTTCGCAAAAGGAATGACGGGCACAACTCTCCCTTCGAGAGAGTCGGCCGGTGGACGAAATCCGCTTCCCGCGCCACTGTGAAACCATCCACAGGGGGGGGATTTTGTCCATTCACAGGGGGTCAGCTTCCCTCCGCTTGGTTTGGATTGGTAGTTTGGGGATTTGAAGCCCCGGCTTTTGTAGAGGGTTCATGGGAACCCCTCGTCCACCAAACCACCAATCCCAACCATCAAGCAGAGGGAGGCTGAAAGAGGGCTGGTACAAACCGAGTTTTAGGTTTTTTGTCTGTTCAGTTTTAGTCAAGGGCGAAGATACGCGTTTACCCAGGTTGTGGAAAGAGGAAAGTGACAATGGGAACCCTGGATCTAAGTGGTTCCAACTCGGGTGTCATTCGCAAAAGTGAAGGATTCCCGTATGATCCAAATCAACATCATGTTGTTTAACGCCGGGTCAACATTATTCTTTGCATCTCCCGACCCGATCTCTTCGCGATCGCTCAGATCGCCTTCTCACCCCCTGGCCTTCGGTTACGCGGGTGCGGACCCCCACGCCAGCGATGGCGTTTTAACGGTCGGTGATACGCTCTGCGCCCCGTTTGTTTCCCACTTCCGGAGTTCAGACTTTAGACCTTTTGCGGTTGGACCATTTTAGTGGCATACAAAAAGTTTGGACTGTTTTTGGCCCAATCCACTCGGGAAGACGGGTTTTGAGTGGGCTTCTTACTTTCTTCAACTTTGTTTTGGACCTTGAAAGGGTCCTTTGTCAGCTTTTTGTTGGAGGTCTCAGTTGTCCAAAGACGACCTTTTTAGCCTTTTGTTTTTTCATTTTTCGTCCATATTTAGTCAAGGTCCCAAATGCCCAGCCTGTTATTTCCGTGTCCTTGGGGTAGCCCGCCCGATGAATCCGAAGCTAGCATGAGGCGGTCAGGTTGCAAATCGGCGATGTGGAATGTTGCGAAGTCGGCATTCACAGGGGATTCATCGGAAACCAGGGCTTCTTGGTGCGAAATGAGTTTCGCAACCATCAGTTTCTGAACAGTGGTGCGAGAAGCGGATTATACATCCATGCATCTACAGCAGTTTGGATGTCGGGGTCGTTTCTCTGTACCGACTTCACCTATTAGGGTACCTTTTTGGGTATCGCGCCCCCGACACAGTTGTTCCTGCTGAAAATTCAAGCGCCAGATTTTCCAATAGCACCCGCCACAAACATCTCCGAGCCGAAACGAACGGTGGCGGGAAAACAGGGTGTATCCCCTCTATATGGTCTCACTTCCTGAGCTCTTGGATCATGTTAGACACACCAAGCAAGTCGGACTCTTTTTGGCCATCCCTTTGAAGTGAGTAGTGGCTGGATGGTGGGTGCATTTTCCATTTAGCACCTGGGGATCTGTGGGTAGGAATCATCTTTCGAGAGCAGGAGTTGAAGTGCGAAGAGTTGACGCCAAAAGCAACCCCAGCCGTGCTGAACCTAGTGTGGGTGGTCGAAATCCTGCACCGCTTGGAGGGCCAGGACTAGTGGCAATGACTAGTAGCTTTGCGCCGTTTAGGACGACATGGGTGACCTTCCCATGGCTCCGGCGAATCGGTTCTTTGTTCATTTTAGCCTAGGTGAGGTAACTTCTACATCTTTGCCCTTGACTAAAATGAACAAAGAAAATCTGAAGCTCTGGTTCTTGTAGAGGGTAACGGGGAAACCACCCCCAACCCACTGAACCACCAATCCAAACCACCAATTAGAGCGAAGCTGAGCGGTCGCCAAGTTTGGGGCAGTCCCCGAGGCGCATCCTCGAGCGAGGGCCCTGCCATCCTGCAAGGGCCCCAAAATGGCGTCCTTGAAACGGGCGAACGGTTCGCAAGGTGCCATGTTGTCTCTGCTGTTTGGGTTGTGTTGCGTGTTTTCTTTCTGGTTGCTTTGCGCTTCTGCCGTTCTTGTCTTCAGTTTTTGTTTTTCCTATCATTGATTGGCTTTCTTGTCGTTGGTTTTGTGACTTATGGTTGATGTTTTCTTCTAGTTGCTCGGATTTTCCTTGTTTAATTATTATATGTCCATTCATGTATAATAGCCCGTCCAACGAAATTTTGTTTACACATTAAATGAGTTAACATGTCATGCCGTACCAAGGCTTGCATGTGACCTACGCAAGCAAGTGCACTTGAACACATTAGGCTTTTTCCATGTCGCCGGGCATCAGGAGTTTGACGGGAGTCGAAGCCATGGCTGGTTAGTTTGCTTTGATCGCTGGTCAGGTAGCCTTTACAATTGCCGACCTTGCCTTTTTGACCCATTGCCTTTTGGGTTTGCATCATTTTGCCTCTCAACCTGCAGCATATTACTTTTTGCAGGGGGTCTAAGTCTGGTCAAGTTGCTTCATGGTTTGGATTGGTGGTTGGGTGTTTGCAACTGGTTCTTGTAGAGGATTGCCACGCACCAGTCACCATTCCAAACCAATTAGAGGGAAGCTGTGTTGGGTTGGATCTTTGACCTCAATTTAACACATTTAGCTTAGAACAAGCTTTCCACTCTTTAAGGGCAGGCAATAAGGTTGGAACCATTGGCTAAAATTGGCTCAATCAAACGGACCATGGGTTTCCCCAGGGGGAAGCCCGAAGGCTGTTTAAATGTTTTGATCACGTCAAGGGTTCGCTCACCCAGGGTTAGAACAGTTGGGATGCTGCCGCCTTGCTTGTCGGAATGTTTGGCTGGCTCTTGCCGGATGGCAAATGAGCAGGGGGTACATATATTACCACAAAACAACGAGCAATGTTTTAAAAGCCATGCCCCCCCCCCCGCATAGAACAGCCAGGAATCCAAAGGGGCGTGAAGGACATTTGGGCTCTCACATCTTCACTGTTGTTGGCATTTTTGTTTTAAGCTTTTTGGGTGTTGGTTCTGTTCGTTTTAGTAGCGGGCTGCAAAGCAAAGTTTGTGATACCATGTCGACAGTTGAAAAGCGTTCTCACATTTGGACATACCCATAGGAGGTGCGGCCAAAATTACCGGGAGTCTACGGTTCACTTTGCAGGTTTGAATTTCAAGTTCGGGTAAATATGAAACCGTCCCCAAGCAAACCGTCAATCATCCCCACCCCGTAAAAATGGACTTGGGGGAGGTGGGTGACTGGAGATCTCCATTTGTGGCAACCCAAATGTATAGGGGAATGGTAGATGAATGGCATCTACCGGACCGCCCATGATTATACAGGTCCACATATGGACCCATGGCCATGTTGGACGCGATTTTCCATAATTGAGCTATAACTAACGGTTAATTAACCCATAAACTGGGGTTGACATGTGGACGTATACCTTCAGCCTTTGACTCAAGGTAGGGATCATCAATCCAAGCGATTGGCCCAGCCGAGGTTGGAGCAGTCCCCAGCAAGGTCAAAGGCGCCTTCTGATGGACCCTCCGAATTTTCGCCCGTGCCTGAGCAAACAGACGAGCCGACGGGCCAGGTGTCCTCCATTTCCCTTTAAAGGGAGCCTCCAACAGAGGCAGTTTCAAAGGAAGCAACGAGTTAATTAATGCACTGAAGGGTAAATACAATCTAAATATTCTCTTTAGACATCATCTCCAGCAAAGGGTCCCTCATTCACACTAACATCCACTTGTTTGGCTTCTTCCTGGTGCGACTAAATCCTGAAAACATGCAGGGTGTAAATTGAAAGCTAGGGTTTGTGCTTTGTATTGCCGAAAGCCCTGGGCTCCAAAATCCCCTGCTTGGCCTTAACAAGGCCCATTGGTCAACACCCAGTCCCTGTCTCGCTCTGCAGTCAAGCACCGGTCTCGAGGTCTTGGCACGATGATGCCCGGGCGCCAAGTGGGCACACCGCGGCTTTGGCAACAAATGCCTTCGAGGGGAATGCAAAAGGGGGGAACCGTTGGGAAAGAAAAACGTGGACGAGAATCATCTGGCTGCGAACCTTTCTTTTCATGTACCTGAAACAGTGACGAAAGCCAGATAGCAAACATCAAGCCCAGGCGGACTGGTGCCTCATAGACCTGCCTGGGCCAGTGTGTTCCCCCCCAGTTTCTTTGCCTGGGAATGTGGGAACAACATCGTCGAAGAAGTAACCTTTTGTCTGCCAGCTTCCCTCAGTCGACAGGATGGTTTCCTTTGCTCGATGCTTTTTGCCAACCCATTGCTCAGCTTTCCCAAAATCAATCCTAGACGGTGATGGTGTAATTTCTTGAGTTTTCCAGCCCCTGTTCAACACCCGGAAAAATACTCGAATGGGGCGGGATCGCCTACTTTGGTATCGCAGAAATGCTCTTCCACAACAAACCAACGGGTGTTCGCAGGAGACCACCCCAGTGGTTAGGTTCCTCCAGGTAGAACCGGCTGGTTGGCTTTTGAATTCCTTCAGAGGCGGATCTTGAGGGGTCCCAGTTTTTAGGACGTGTCTTAAGGTTTTACATCCTGAAGTTGCGTTTTTTTTCAGGGGGCCCTTCTCAGATGGATGAAATTGCGCTTTTTGAACCACACGCGCAGCCCCTGTGATTTTTTCCAGGCCAGGTCCAAAGGAGTGTCTTTTTGTTGGTGAACCCCCCCCCCCACACACAATTTGTGGTTTTCTTTTTGGTTTCCCTTTCAAACCACAACAAAAGGGCAGGCGCCCACAGAAAAGACGGGCCACCCCACTTGCATGTTTTGAGACATGCGGGGAAAGGGAAAGATCTTAGGGGGGGAGAGTGTCGGAGAGGTCTTAGGGGACAAAGGGCCTTACGGGGGAAAGGGGGGAAGGATCTCAACAGGAAAACGGTGAAAAGATCTCAGCGAGGAAAAGGGAGAAGATCTGAGGGGGGGAAAGGCCGGGGGAAAGGGGGGAAAAAGGATCTCGACAGGGAGGAAAGGGGAAACGATCTCAGGAAAAAAACCCTTTAGGGGGGAAAGGGGGGGAAGGATCTCAACAGGGAAGGGGGAGGAAACTATTTTTGGGAGCAAAAGGGAGAGGATCTCAGGGGGGAAAAGGCGTTAGGGGGGAAAGGGGGGAAAGGATCTCAACAGGGAAAGGGGGGAAAAGATCTTAGGGAGGAAAAGGGAGAAGATCTCAGGGGGGGAGGGCCTTAGGGGGGAAAGGGGGGGAAGGATCTCAACAGGGAAAGTGGGGAAAAGATCTTAGGGAAGGGAGAAGATCTGAAAGTGCGTTAGGGAAGAGAAAAAAGGATCTCAACAGGGAATGCGTCCAGACCCCCAGACCCCCCCGTGACCTCGGCCGGCCCGGCTGTGAGGCCTCGTCTTCCCTGGCACCTTCGGGCACTGCAAGGGATGGCACCATCACAGCGCGGGCGCCCAGACGTAAAGGAGACAGTCAACCAGACCTTCATGTGGGGGGAACCTGCCCTATTAATGGTTGAAACGACGGTTCTTCGCACCTTGATGGCTATCTGGTTGGATCTTTGGACTTTGCTTTTTGGAGAAATGTGAATTTTCCATTGGAGCCATAAACAGTTATTTTTTTTGCAGAGGGGTCAAGACACATGGATCAGTTCTCTCACTTCCACAAAGTGAATCGACCAAATCTAGCCTCCTTTTTTGGCAAGGCCCCAGGATGTGATCACCTTTCCTTTCCTTGCCCGAACTGGGCAAGTGAGGTTTTGAGTGAGCCTTTTTGGTTGACCTTTAGTGAAGGTCCCCGAAGCCGTACCTTCCCTTTCCAATCAGGGATCCTTCTTTTCCAAATGGTTGCCCCAGCCCTGGGATTGTTTGGTGGTTTCTAAAGAGGAGGGGTGAAGAGTCAAGAGAATGCGGCAGCAACCCTTACCAGCAATCTGTCTCAACCCCCCCACCCGCACCCCTCCCCCCCCCAAAAAAGCAAAAGAAAGGAATTAAATGAAGTAAGTAAACGAACAAATAGAGAAATTGATAAATAAGGGTGATGCGATGCCTTTCTGTCAGACAGGTCATTCTCCGGGCCTGACAACTTTCACTAGCTGCATTGTTCAAGGAGCCTTCTCCAGGGGGTTTGTTGCCTGGTTCAATCCTACCAGTGCCTTCCACCGAAGCTTCGATACTTCTAAAGTCAGATAGCCATTTGGTGACTTTGGAATCTGGATGTCTCCAGGAAAAAGAAAAACACGTCATAGATAAAGCACATTCCTTATGGGAGCCACCGCTGATTGGTGTGTTGGGTCCTCCAGAGGGAAAAAAAACAGGGCAGTTCTTTAGTTGTCCACAATGATATTTTATGGCTGGGTTTAAGGGACGAACAAACCGTCTTTGCTGCGTGATTCAGAGGGCGGAGCAGGGATGACCCTTAAACCACTTCCCCACGAGCAAACGGTTGCAAAATGGAGGTTTCCAATCACCAGCCAGTCAGTTAGTTGCACTTGACTGGTGGTTTCCATTGAAACGATCGCCACTTTTGGATGATCCAAGCGAAATGACTCGCAAAACCGGCTCTCTCCTTCATTCCTTCCTTCCTTCCTTCCTTCCTTCCTTCCTTCCTTCCTTCCTTCCTTCCTTCCTTCCTTCCTTCCTTCCTTCCTTCCTTCCTTCCTTCCTTCCTTCCTTCCTTCCTTCCTTCCTTCCTTTCTTCGGGTCGTGAAATCCGAGGTCAATCCCCTGGTCATGCGTCGGAGCCTTAGAGTGTCGGATGGCCCCCAAAGGGGTGTTGTTAGCCTGCGAAGGGGCGAAATGGGGGTCTCTTAACTTTTCTTTAGGTAGGCTAAATGAGTTTGACTTTCTTAGGGAACCCACCACAATGGCGGTGGTCTTCCTTAGGTTTCGTTTTAGAACCCAGCATAAAGGGGTTTCTCCGCAAAAAGGACAGACCCAAATGCGGTACACGATCTGATTCCCTGCATGATTTTTGGTGTTGCCCTGATTTGGACCAGGTTAAGAACAAGGTTGAGAAAGAGATTTCAATTGGCTTGCCCAAATGTGAAGGGGTAGTAGCAACTTCGAACCAACTGCGGATATCAACGAGTCCTAAACCGATTTGGTCTCCACCAGGGAACCACTGCTAAGTATGGCCTGGATGAAGTTCGGACATCAGACAAGCGGGCGCCAGACTGCAGCAACGACATGGACAAGCAGCAGCTCACACAATGGGACATTAATAGTAAAGAGGGTTCGGGCTGCTTGATTTTTTCAGGCCCGCTATTCGACACCTGGATAACAAGCTTTGTTTGCTGGAAGCACCGATCAGCAGCCACCACAGCTTGGTAGCCGCTTCTTCGAGTTCCATCGCTAAGTATGACTTGAACATATGTACAGTCCAGGACAGATGGAATGACCTTTCATGGCTGGTCTTCAGGTCCCGGCCTTTGTGAACAAGCGAGTGCGTCTTCTTTTTTTGGGGACCCCACCCCAAGATGGTCTGGTGTCGCGTTTTCTATGCCACAAAAATGGTACCGAGCCTCCAAAAAACACAAGCCCCCCAAATGGCTTTTCCATTGAAGCTGCAAGAAACCACCCGTTTCAGGGCAAGCGAGCAAACCGGCCCAACCTAAAAAGGGGGAAGGCGCTATGAGACCTAGGAAACCATGGTAAGCCATTGTTTGTTGATATTTACATGGGAATCATTCTTGTAGGATTTCGTACATCCACTGTATTCCTCCCAGAACGTGCGTGTTTGTTTGGCCCTGTAAATGTGCAGAGGAGCAACGCAACTTGCTCTTGCACTCTGCTTTCGAGTTCTATGTAAAATCTACCAAGCGGATGAAGTGGGCCGCAATGTGTTTGCCCGAAGGGTGTCGAAACGTGTTTTTCACATCCTTACAAGCGCCATCCAAAAAGGAGTCACCCCAATTGACGAACCAGTGTTGTTTATTATGTTCCATTGGCTCGTAGACAAATAGAGGGGTAGCCACCCTTTCCGGCCAACATGACAGTTGGATGTTCTGTTTGAAGCAAGTCAGGACCCGTCCGCGCCCGTTATAAGCTCACTTGCATCAAAGTGACCTAAAGAAGGATGTTCTCCTGTTGTTTTTGAGTTTTTGTGAAGGCAACGCAGGTGATCGCTGGGAGCAATAGCATTGTCGATTCCCTCGTTGGTGAAAAATAAGAGACCGGTCCTTTTCAATGGCCCCCAAAAGGACGGGTAGATGAGATCGAGGAGGGTGAACTGACCCCTGCATTTCTGTGAACATGATGAGCTTCCCATGTGAGGTATGGGGGAGCACCTCAAGGGCAAGCTGCAGGGGATGATCCGTCAGCGCTTCGACAACTATCTGCACATCATCAAGCCGCTGGGCGGAACCGCTGGGTCCCTTATGGGCATGAGGCGGCCACAACCCAGAGTTCCCAAAGTTTCCCGCATGGGTTGTTTTCTAAACATCACCTTGCGGGGGCCACTCAAAAAACGAGCCTCCATTTGGAGTAATGTTAAGGATAAATATAGGGAACCATTGAGAAAGCCTGCGATTGAAGGAGGTAACCCAAAAAGCAAACTTTGGCGGGGTGCGATTCAGGCACCTTATCGGAGACCTGTTTTCTTGACTTGTTTAAGTTTAGGTTCGCAAAAGACGGACAATGAACCATGTGTTTGTGGTGGGCACAACCTGAGATAGGGACCCATTGTGCACGTGTTATAGTTTGTTTGTTCCTTCTCAAGATGCCAGAATGGAAGCCAGAGCTTTTAGATTTCAGGAATTTGCGGCGAACGAAGTGCTGTTTTTCCATTGGCAGACTTGCTTGGATCAGCTTTTTGCCGTTCTGCCCGTGGTCCCCTGGTTTGGCCGAAGTTTCCAGATTGGCCGAAGCCCTTGGATCCAATGGATGGTGTCCAAAGGGGACCAACAGGGGATTGGCATGTTTTTGCCAGACCTACTCGATTGGACCCTTCGGGTTTTGAGACTCGAGGCTCCTCTTTATGGGTGAGCATCCCAGTGCCTGGGGTCTCCTCTAAAAGGATGTCCAGTTTTTTTGTGGCCAGGCTAAAATATGGCTCTGTCTCAAAATGGCACCAAAATGGGTGTTGTGTTCTTGCAGTTTCCAATCATACCTATATGAAGCAGAATCAGACGATATGTTATTTTCGGTTGACCCCTGTTTGTAGTTGCCAGACGTTAGAAAGGATTGCCGGGTTCCCAGGAAGAAAGGATGGTGTCCTTCCATGCATGTTGTTTTGTTTTTGGTTAAATAGCGCACTTGCAACCGGATCTGACCTTTTGGTTTCCCCTTTCTGGTTCATTTTTAGTATTGGGCCCAAAAGGTTAACCTTTCATTTGTGAGTCGGTTGGATTGGCGAATGGACGGCTTGCCGCTATCAAAGTGTTGTCGTGTTCCGTGCCCACATTCTGGGGAACATGTGGGGGTGTCTTTTTTTGAGGGTGCCATTGTTGGTGGTTTGCAAGGAAAACCTGAACGAACTCCGAAGCCGTTTAGGGGTCCCCTATATAATTCAGTTGCTTAAGAAGATGTGGTATTCCCCTCTTGGTTTAAAGTATCACTACTGGACATGATTTCATTTTGTTCCCGGGGTCTTAAGTAAACGGAGGCAACTCTCATGTGCCCTTACCTGCAGCCAACAAATTCACTCCCGCGAGCCCGGCAGTTTGTGAGCTTCTAGAGGTGGACCTCCCCATACTTTCCAACCGCATCGTTCTTTGCAAAAACTCGCAATTTCCCTTGGTGATTGGTGGTTGTCTTGAAAGAAGGATCCATGGAAAGAATGGGTAAGACAACCGCACAGTATTTGCTGGTTCCCCCGAAAGATAGCGCAAGCGCAAGGGATTTCAAACGCACATCCAATGTTTGCTCCGATTCTTGGGTGGCTGTAACATGGCCTTTTTGGACCAATCCTGGACCAATCAGAGTTCTGTCCGGCTTGACTATTGAAACTTGCAAAGAATTATCGCGCGGGTTTGTGTGTGTGTCTGAAAAGTAGGGCGCCTTCAAAATGTGTGGTTGCCTTTTGGTTTTCCTTCTGGAACCATTCAACAAGGGTTCCCCACAAGACAGATCCATCAGCTGGGAGGCTGAAACCCTTTAAATGATCAGACAACACACTCTAGACAATAACAATTAAAGTTAAGCACGTTTTAAGCCACCGTAAGCCAGCTGGTGCCGATGGGCCTCTTTGCCAGGACGCTGCAGAACGACATCGGGAAGCTTGCAGTACCCTGACGTGGAAGACGGATTCAACCCAGTTGTCAATACGTGGGTATCTTTCATTTGCTGAAATGAATTTGGGTGTTTTCCCGCTGGCTTTCAGAGGAACCTATCACTACTGTTTCTCACCATGATGTCTGGCTATGGATTTTTAATGTTGTCTCAAAAGTGAATTCTTCCCCCCACCGAATTCTGATATCCACCAAGGGGTTAATGAAAACATATGATCGCGATCGGTTTGTTGGGCCCCATGGCTATGAATGTGCTCAATGCATTCCACCCTCCAAAACAATTTTTGATATTTAGGGGAACCCCCAATTTCAATGACTAGTCCCAAGAAGTGCCCTCCCTCCAACAATCATAGAAGCTGCAAGACAAGTTTTGGAAGGCTACTGACCTTTTGGAGAAGCCCCCTGTCCACTTCCATGCTTGTTGGCAAGAGGGTATAACAAATGACAATGCTTGATTCCTGCTGAACGGGTCACTGGGCAACTGGGAGAGCTTGAGGCATTGAGCATCGGGTTTGCAGGCGGTGTTCTTCCCTGTTTGTTCATCCAATGAGGGCAGACCCCATGGCTCAGTTGTCCATCGAGCCTTGTCGCGTTTACCCATCCTTCTGAGGCAAGCGCCGGGAAGGTGAACCCATAAGATGGGCGGTGTCCATTCGGCTTCTGTTCAAATGCGCTACCCCTAAAAAGGCTAGACGCTAACCAAAGGGGGTATCTTCTCGGAGGCTGCGTTGGTTTCTTGCTGTGAGTGCACAGTCCTTTGGCCTTTCTGGAGGTTGATTTGGGTGTGACTTGTGTTGCTTTGGGCTGGATGAAAGCAATCCGAAAAGACGCCAACCCTCAATGTTTGCTTAATGGGTGCGTGATGTGCGGTTTAGAGAGGGATTGAAATGGAAACCACCCTTTTTGGGGCTTTACCGCCTGTAAATGGTCGGGCAAAATGATTTCTCAAAGAATGACCGACGTTTGGGAGTTTCATGGCAATCTGCAGAAAGGTACTAGTAGTGGTGGTTTTCTCTCTGGGTGGGGTTTGTGGGACCCCCGCCCAAAGTAAAGTTTGAGGACCCTTCAAAACTCACCAGTTGTGACTGTCGGTTTATCTATAGGGCTTCATCTATCCCATGTGTTTGTGAATTTCGCCCCCAAGGTAGGCCTCATTGAATCAGGTAACCTTTCGTCGGTGGTTTGGATTGGTTTGAGGATTGAGGATTTGCGGCCCTTGTGGGTGAATGGGAAAGCCGCCTTGAGGGTACCCCTTTCTTGGTGGTTTTCCAAGGGCAGCCGAAGGAAAACCATTGCGCCATTTTGGGGGAAACAAAAAACACCACCTGCGGGACGTAGACACCTGAGGCGCTGACTTGTGAGCTGCGCGGGGCCCAAGACTCTCGAAACGATGCGGAAGCGAATCGCATGGCCCTCGTTTCGGCGCCCCGAAGTTCCGATGTTTCCGATGGCTCAGTTTCAAGGTGGGCTGTTTCATGGAGACGGGTTTTGGAGGTATGGAGATCATGTACTAAGGGTAAAACGTATATAGTTTCAAGTTGGCAGGTTCATCCAATTTCGCTGCCTACCTTTTCCCGCAGACCACCTTCTTCCCCGAAACCCGTTGAACCTGAGGCTTCACCTTCTTGCGGGATTTGTTCAGTCCGAGATGAACTTTGCCCAGGAGGAATCCATTTGGCATTGAAAACTATTCATGGATTCAGGGAGAGGGATTTTGGGGGTGTGGAGGTCATGTGCCCCCTATATAGGGGGCATATACTGCGTTTCATCCACCCATCCAAAACCCATACCTGAAAATGCCCTTGAAGTTGCACAAAGTGAATGGACCTGAAATGATGTTGTGGCCCGCCTCAACAAACCACCCTGCTTGGCTTCCCGCCAAAGGGGCTCCGCGACTCGGGTTGGATGGGTTGATCACACCTGGACCCTCCCCTTTGAAGGGAAACCAGGCTGTTTCAGCACCAGGCGTGCTTGTTCTTATGTGTGAGACAAATGATGCAAGTTGTTGTTTGTCGTAGGAAAAAACACCCAAGAAGCCCCCAAAAAACACAACCCCCGCCCAGCCCCAAATCGTGGCTCCAGGCGCATGACCTCCCGGCACGCATCGGCTGCAGCCAGCTGGGGGTTCCTAGTAGGGAAAGGCACGAAAGATGCATAAGACTGGGTTGTTTGGTGGGAAACCAAGAGCCAAACGTGGCGATCTTTTCAATGGACACCACAAGTAAATTGCAAGTTTTGAAGGGAACCCCAGTGATGCCTGCCAAAAGGAAGCCAAGGCTCCCATGTGCGTTCCAGTTGTAGTTTAACATGGAGCCCAAAACCCACTATGTTTAGAGGAATCTCCTGTTTGGGGGGCCTTTTTTTGGGGGCTCCTGTTAATTGTGGGGGGGGGGGTGGTAAACTAATCCCCTCTCAATATGGTGTTATTAATCCTGGGTTCTGATCGATGAATTGAGATGGCGGTTGGGTGAAAGTAGATGACACAAACCTCTCATGTTGGTGTAGGTATCCCCCTTACCGCCCATGCGGAGAATTGTGCCATCTACTTTTACCCTGTGCAACATAGAAAATCACATGCTGTGGACAAAATCCACTTCGCAGATTGGATGGATGCAGCCCTGTCCCAACAGCAGGAACTTGTTGGATAGTAGGTACAGTTTGGCCTACTTTGAGGGCATTTAATGTCATCAGGTTCTGAATCAGGCTTTCCTGAAGGTAGTCCTAGTGACGCGAGCGCAGTGCAATTGTTGTTGAGGCGTGCCAGAGTTTTGCAGTGACACTCTTGTCTGAGCAGCGCAGCGAGTCCTGGCGCAGCGTACACCGTCGCTGACAGTTTGCGTGGGGTGCCTTTTTCGTCCACAGTCTGGCCAATGACTTAGCAGCATTCAAGGTTGCATTCATGTCGCGTGCTCTTGCGGGCTACGTTGCCACTGCAGCCATGGAACCTTTCGCAGAGTTTTCACTGAAGTTCAACAGGAGAGCTGAAAAGGCAGCTCTGACCGATGCTTTTCATCTGCAATTCGTTTTGAGTTGATTTCCCCAAAAGGGGAACCCCTAGGTTGAGTCTTTGGAGTTTTCTAGGCCCTGCGTCTGTCACCGAGACACCACTTTTCTCGTGAAGGTAGCTTCAGATTTTCGAACAACCAATGGAGCTGTGTTGGGAATCCGTCGCCTGAAAGGACATGCTTTATGTTTTTTTAGGGCGGGTTGGGTTGTTTGAACTGGGATTTCGGGTCCCTTCCCAGGCTTGAGATGGCGCCCAGATCCAAGCTGATCCAAGCGCTGGCTTGAGTTTTCCATTTTCTTCCACAGTCCAGGAAATTTGGCTGGGTGAATTTGCCAAGCACTTGCTTAGTAGGTTGTGAACAAATGTTGGACATCGTTTCCCAACCGGTTTTCGCCAGAAACCCCTGCTTTCCGGCGACGGCTTTGCCACTGAGGCGTGACGCCCAAGTTCCGGATCTCCATCTCCTGCAACGAGGCGCGCAACGGGCAAGCGACGGCTTTCCGAGCTCCGATTTGCTAAATTCATTGCACCCAGGATTCAAGTGTCCCAAGAACAGGTACTCCCCTACAAACTAACATGGAAGCCTACAAGCCGTTTGCAGAGGAAGCTTCTTCTGGCGGGACCCTTCTTTTGGGATCCATGTTTGTTGTAGGGAGGTAACAAGGGAAGTAGAGTCGAGGTAAGTATCCCGGTTGCCTGGTGGATTTGGTCTGCACCCGTGTTGGCTTTTTGGTTTGTTTCGACACCCCTTCCTGACGCAGGAGTGCTTAAATTCTGGTTGATGCGCCGCAGACCGCAACAAAAGTTCCTTACCACGGGCTAGGCAACGGTTGCCAAGCCTACGCCCTTGCAGGAAAGCCCCCAAACACACGAGGTCTGCCTTCTTTGGCGGGTTTTCTTTCCCGATTGTTTTAGACACAGCCAAGGCGTATCGAAACCAAAGAATCGGCAAAGCCCAGACATTTCCCGTGCGCCCTCGTGGAGCGGCCGCACGTGTTTCTCGTTGGAATCCTGGACCTCCAAAGCATCAAAATGATCCCGCAAACCAAATGGTAGTTCCAAGCTTTAACGCCACCCGAGGGTTCAATCGAGACCCCCCCCTCTGTGTTTGAGCCCCAACATCTCTTCACTTGGGGCCCCGGGAATCATGGGCAACACACGCGATCTTCGGAAAACGCCGCACCATGCGTGGCGTGTTATCGAGCACTCTTCTCGGCCATGGAGCACAACGGATCCTTAACGGGATCAGCTCCGCGATTCCAGAAATCCGGCTGGTGAGATTGAACCAAGACGGCATGACACCGCCTCCAATCTTGACACTTCAGTTGAGTCAAAGGGTCCGCCAGACAGCCCGGAGAGAGATAGCCCTCGGGCTGTGAGTTTCCAGCTCGTCCAATCCAGCTATACTTCGCTTACTTCGCTCTAAGGCGGCTTTGCCTCGTCTGTGGGGGAAGTGGGGGAAAAGGTGGACAGTGACGCATGCACGCGTAACATTAGAGGGCCTGGCTCCAGTCCCTGGGAGCCAACAATTACATGGTTCGAACAACACATTGCGGGTGGACGAAATCCCTTTCGCACCACGGATTTTTGAAGCCCTTTGGGGTACACCACCAATCTCAAGCCCTCGGATCACCTGGTGCCCTTGCAGAGCACAATGGCTCAGTTCGCGGTCCTTCCCTTCAGAAACACTGACTACTTTCAAGTCACTTTGAAATTAGAGCCACCAAAGGGAAAGCCCCCTAAAAGAGTCCTCTTTTCACCTTTTGGACCGCTTGTAGCGCATGCCAAGGGGTTGGAATGAGGGGGTGGTGCCCGCAGAATGGGATATCGGGGTGCCTATGGAAAATCAGTCATTTGGAAGGCCCCCCCTTTGGCAACTGTAGAAAGGCAATTCACACTTAGACACGTTCCTGGATCTTGGATTTGCATCCTTATGTCAAAGGCTGAATGTATACGTCCATATATGAACCCCTGGCCATTTATACTGCATGATTGTAACTATTGCGTGCTAAGTTGAACAGCCGTAGGTTAGACTTAAATTAAGCCCGGTGGTTGATGTCCCCAACCCCTTCAAGTAAAACCGGGTCGTAAGGGTCTCCAAAACTATGTGATACTTCTGAGGTTTATTCTTTCAGACGCAAAGTTGCCAAGTTGGTTTCACTTTTCCCCACTCGGCCAAAAAGTGTCTTGTTTTTTCCCTCATTCGACCAGTGACCAATTCGGCTGAGGACGGTACCTTCTTGGTGTACACCGTGCCGGACGCAGCGGGCGTTCTTGGCTCCCAGTGCCCGGGGCCCCGAGTGAAGGTTTGTGTCCTTCGGCTCCCGACGGAAGGCGGGCATGCGGTGTCAAACATAATGGGAACCCCGCAATACCCCAGTTTTTGAATAGAAAGTTGTGCCTGGTTTAGTGGGGGTTCATCACTGAAGGGGTACACCTCCTATTAGCAGGATAGGTTTATCAATCCCGGGTCAACATTGCTGTGGATTGTGGATGGACGAAGTCCATTTCGCACCACGAAACGAAACCATGGTTGCAACCATGGTTTGTTCGGGGAATTATCGTAGGGCTTCATACGTGCAGGATTTCGTTCCACAGTATGGGCGAGTTGTTCTTTTGGCGCCCCTCTTCTTGAGATCCCCTGGGTTTGTTTGGGTCCCTGGGTGGCTGCAAGTAGTTCAAACATATGGGTGTAGTCTCTTTCGACTCATGTTGAGAACAAGTTTGCATCCCGGTGTCCTTTTTTGTACAAGGCGCCCCTAATTTTGAGAGGGGAAACGGTTTTTGTTTTGGGGGGATAAGTTTCAGGTGGATATTATTAGAACCTTCTCAAGGGCTCAAAGTTTAAACGTGCATCTTGAAACAAATGAGGAGGTCCAAATGGCCTACGAATTCAAATGCGGATGCTTCAACAGCAGTTTCAACATGTACCAATTGGTTGGCAACTCCCTCGTGTTTGATCAATTCAAGTTTTCAGATACCATGATTTTAGCTGCCAAACAGTAGGGGTTCCTCCATTTCTCTTTCTGCAACCTCCAAAAGTGGCGATCGTTTCAACGGACACCACAAGTCACAAGTGAACTGATAACTTTGATTTGGGGAGATCCTGGCACCCCTGATTGTGGAAAAAACAAAGCTTTGATTTTTATTTGGAGGACCAACAACAATCAGGGGTGGTCCCCTAGGGAATGCTTCTATCTATGGCGGGGTTCCTACTGAAAAAAATCGGATTGCGAAGTCACCAGGTGGTTACCTGACTTTGGAAGCATCGGAGCTCTGGAGGGGGCCGCTGTGTTTCTGAGGTGTAAGGCACTGGTTCTGTAGATAGGGGACACTGTCTTTTGGCCTTGAGGTCTTTTACCAAGGGACCAACCAAAGCCAAGGATTGCACCAGGCAACAACCCCCATGAAGAAGACATGTTGCTTGTTCTAAGGGTTGATTCCGCATTCTCGTCAGAACCGCCCACAGCCCGTGGAACCATTTTGGGAAAAGACGGATCCACTAGCAAATTGGTCAATTTTCGAAGGTGATGTTGGCAGAGGCCTAGCTCATGAATGAATGGCTGGCTCACCCGAGGGTAAGACTAGCTCACTCCGGATGAATACCACTTTCACAGGGCTTTTCTTTGCCCGGTGGGATCATCTGTAGTGCATCCGTCCAGTCACTATAGCAGACCACCAGGACGAATCCTGCAAATGCAAGAGGTACAAACAGCTGCTTACTTACGTACTATAGACTATAGCAACTACTTTCACACTTCGCAATGTTCTGTCAATGTCTCTTGATGACAGCTCTCACCCACCTTGCCTACAGGACTTCATAATTTAAGTTTAGCCGCGAACAACAAACGATTTACCTACTAGTGCCAGTTACGCTTAGTGCTCTAAATTTAAAAGAGCACTGCAAGAGCGCAAAAGAGCAGTCATAGGAAGCATCGAATCGAACAACGCATCCAAACTGTTTTGGGTGTGGTTCTTGGTGGGTACCCCCTTTTGGAACTAAAAGGAAGTCATAAGATTTCGGGGGGTCCCCGAAAAGCGACAACCTGTTGTAGAAACACACACGCACCCAATAGTAGTTGATGGCATTTTTATGGCTCGTCTGAAGCGAAGAGACGAGGATGTCCACCCGTATCCTGAACTGACCTTTCGGTGTTGGAAGCATGTGGACAAAGTTGGTGCGGTTGTTGCTTCAGGGCAGTGTTCTTTCTTTTTTTTTTGAGGGGGGGGGGGGCAGTGCAGAACAAAGTAGGTGGCTGACATACCGGGGCTTGTGATGAGTTGGTTATGTATGTACATGGGCGAGGGATGCGTGCATCCACAACGAAAGCCGGGTTCTCATCATTCACAAGCATCATCATGAATCATATACCTGTACAATTAAAACACACACATATGTATATGCGTTTAGGTACATACATACCTATAGCATGCGCAACATGTATACAGGTCACACGTGGGACCTTTGTACATTGAGGGACGGGGACGCTTGGCAAAATCCAGGGTGCTCAGCACACGGGTCAGGATATTTCCGTGCCAAAGTGCGCGGCAGAGGCTTGAGGACAGACACGAGCAGGGAGCAACAAGCACCAACCAAACCCCGGCTTTCTTTGAACAGGGGTTCCTCAGTTTCCCTTTTGCGACCTGCAACAGAGGGAGGTTCAATTGAACCCAGAAACCCCTGTTGTACACCCAGTTATTGGTAGTCCTGAAGCATTCACCAAGCATGCGCCGACACTGTACACGGAAGGCTTAACTCAAGATGCCTGACACTCAGATCGCTGGTTATCATCAGAAAGCCATCATAACAATCATGCGATCGATCTTAGCTTCCCTTAGGTTCCCTACCCTCCAGGTAGTCTACTTTGCGGGTCCAGCCCAGTGCGGGTATCGAACGCGTGCTAAAAGAGCACTAGAAACCACCCAGGAGGAAATTGCAGAGCATTTCACCTAAACCGATCTCTCTTTTTTGCGCTGGCAGATTGCATTGCGGGGTTTTCCATATCTTTGCCAGAAGCGTCCCACTTTTTGGACGCGGCCCATCGGCTTATTTCCTTCCCATGCGGTGCTCGGCGTCGGCGGCCTCGCGCGAACTGCCGGCGAGCGGCGAGAACTTCTGGCGCCAGGCCATGGCAGAAAGCTTCAGGTGGTCGGACCCAAAAGATCCAAAACGGATCATTTCTTGGTGGTCCCCAGCGAATCGTCCGGCTAAAAGTGAAGCTTTTGGCAGGGGATCTGAGGACAGCAAGGATGTCTCATGTTTTGTTGTTTGGGGCGCAGGGGGTAATGCATGGAGGGGAGGCTGCGTTGTTCTCAAGTGGTAAAATATGTTGCGCGTATTTTGAACGGGCATTTTGCAAACAGCTTCCCCCTAACTTCGGATTCCAACGAGGACCCCACGAGGAACCCCCTGAAATAGATCAGCTCCTTACTAAAAGGGAACCAGTACGGTCCAGGGCGCAGCGAAGGAGTTGCTGGCTGCCGCATGGGTATGCCGCATACCTCAACTTTGCGATCCGTTATTTTGTGGCTACAATCGATGCCCCAAAGCCATTTCTGGCAACTCCTAGTTGTGTTTGGTGGGATCCCCGCGAAAGGCAAAGTACTCAAAGGAATGGGCATCCATGAGTCCACGACCAAGAGGGAAGACAGAAGGGGGTTGGCGTCGCCATCCCTTAGAATTGGAATCGGGGAGGGGTGGTGACCCCAGAAGTTCCATTTGTGGTTCCATTTTTATGGGGAATGCTAATAAATGGCATTGGGGGACCACCCATCCCCCTCCCCCAGTAGGGGCGGATGTGTTGACCCATTTTCCACATTTCCCTCCCCCACCCACTTCACAATGGCTGCAAAGCTGGGTGCTACATCGCGCCCCCAAAGGAAGACGGAAGGAGGAGGGAGAGAGAAAGAGTGAGAGAGAGAGACAGAGAGAAAAAGAGAGCGAGCAAGAAAGAAAAAGAGAGAGAGAGAGAGAAACAACAAGAAAATACACAATACATCAACCATGGAGAAGAGTTAGACAAAGAGAGAGAGAGAAAAAGAGAGATGGAGAGAGAGAACGAGAGGACAGAGAAAGACAGAGAGGTTGAGAAAAAGCGCTACAGAGAGGGAGACAGACAAAGGGAGAGAACGAGACAGAAAAAGAGAGAGAGAGAGAGAGCGAGAAAAGATAAACAGAATGATAACTATAGCTTGACCACCGGCTTCGCCGGCTCTATGTCATGGTTGATATAGCCCAAATCCCTCATGGGCAGCTTCGGTTTTGGGGGTGAAAACCATTTTGGATTGGAAAACCCACCCCGGTTCTCACTGAAAAACGTCTTTCCAGGCGGAGGAGGCGGCAGACCTGCATCAGCAGGCGGGACCCGTTGCCGGGACTTGTGAAGGGGAGTCGCCCAGCCATAGCAGAGAGCCCCATTGTTTTCTTGCCTGTTGCGTTTGCGTAGGAAACTTCAGATCAAAGGAGACACGCATGAACAAACACTCACAAGAAGGTCTTATACCAAAAATACCGTCTTTCCAACAATCATGGAACTGGACAGGGAGGCCTGCGGAATGTATTTTTCCACACTTTCCCGTCAACGTCCATAATTGGAGGGAGGGTGGAGCCTGAAGCCTGAGCAGAATGAAGGTATTCAAAGTAGCTTTTCATACCCACCGGATGAACAAACCCAAGTACCGCTAAAATGGACCAAACCTTGGGTCTCCTCCACAACTATTCGATATTTTTGGGTAGGCCAAATATGGGTGGCTCGTCCTTTTTGGAGTTGGTACCCTGTTTTTGTGTGTCGCTCAGGTGCTGAAGCAGCAGCGCCTGGTGGTGGCCAGGCAGTGCAAGGCCAAAGCCGTCATGGCGCCTTGCTCAGGAAGGGCGTGAGCAATCGGTCGCCCCTTTCTTGGTTTTCTGCATGGTACTCACTCCCTGAGTTTGTGGACTCCAGTCGCTTTTTGGGCAGACCTGTTTAGTGCTAAACAACAAGTTTGGACGTAGTTTGGTCCATCCACTCAGGGAGTGAGTTTTCGTTCTGTTCATTCCTGCATTGCCACGCTTAGTTTACCCCTTTTTTGTTTCCCTTGTGGGTTTCCTTGTTTCCCATTCGACTAGCAAACAGTGAGCATCAGATTTGGAGGGCGTGTAAGTCTGGCCCAGAAGACACCAAAAGCAAACCAAGCTTCTTCCACTCAAATTGCTGGGATCACCGCTCAACATTTTGATTGTCCAGCGATCAGCTATGGCGAGCTCCCCCTGAGGGGTTCATTGCAAGCTCGCCATGTGCTGGGATCCCCGATGTCAGCATCTGGACATATTGTGGATGGACACAATCCTGCGCCAGGATTTCGTCCGCCCAAGGTATTTTACCACTTTGCGGATCCCTGCTGCCTAGGGAACCAGGATTCTCAAAAATGGAAGATGACACCAATCTTCCCCCCCCCCCCCCCCCCACGCAGGTTCCATGCCCTCTAGCTACCCTCAGTTGGATTGGTTGGATTTGAAGGACTGGCTCTTGGGTTAACAGCCTTCTTCAAGGCTCTAAACCATTGGTTTCCAACCAGCCCATATGAGAAGCTGAATTTGGGACCCTCATATCAACAAGTTCGCTGGATGGGTCTTGAACGTGTTTTTCCCTTGGGTGTTTTTGGTTGCACCATTTCCGCTGAGTAGGTCTTGCTTTTTTCCTTTTTTTTCGTTGGGCCCCATGCGTTCTTTTGGGTTAGACACGGGGAGCCCTTTGCTCAGGCAAATGACAACGGTGATCATGGCCAAGACTTTGGGCCAGAGGGTCCGAAACGGCTGAGTTCCGCACTCCAAGCGAGGGAGTTGTGAAAAGCGGAAAGCCTGGAGCTTTTGGGCTGTGTTGGTGTAAAAACCGTTTCGGTGTGGCAACCATATTGGATTCGGGGTTCCAATGAACCCTCGGAAGCCAACCCTTGTAGAAAAACATCCAGTGGGTCAGGCCGGATCCCGGAAAGCCAATCCCAAGCCACCAAGCCTTTTCGGGCTGACATATTGGCTCGTCTTTGTTATGTACCTTTTGGGGCAAAACGGAACCAACTCACTTCCAGAATTTATATGCTTTAGTTGCTTTTTGGGAATATTATTTTAGTGGGAAGCAAGAAGCTCAGTTACTTTTTCTGGCCCATCAACTCGATCGGTAGGCCAAGGTTGAAGCCCACCCGGTTCCAGAACCTGACACCAGCCGGTGTCCCAGGTACATCAGGCGGTGGAGGATTTGGAACGGTTGCACCTGGCCATGGCCCAGCAGTTCTCGCAGATGGCGCCGGATCGCTTGACCCACAGCCTTTCTCGGCTTTTTTCAAACTCAAACATGGGGGGATGAATATAAGCTCCCGAGACGTTTTAGGTTTTTGAGTTTGTAAGGTTTAATGAGGGTTCCAGGAATCCCACTGAAAGTTAAACTTTTAGCGGGAGGATGTGAAAAAAAAAACACCCAGTTTGCCTGGGCTTCGGCCTCTCAACTGGTCTTGCCCTTCGTTTAATGGGGGTCAAGCCCTAGGACAACGGTGAGCTGAAGGAGGGGGGACACCAACACGGTGATCGACCTTTTGCTCAGTTTGGCTCAAGACAATCGAGCCCATACTGTGGATGGAAGGTTTCATCTATGTGCAGGATTTCGCCCACCCGTTGTAGGTGTCCTTAGGTGAGTTTCGTTGCACATAGATGGCACCGGTTTTAGTTTGGTTGTACTAATTTACCAGGTCACTTGTTTTTCCGCAACGCTTATGGATCGCGCCCCTGAAATTGAAAATGTGAGGACCATGTAATGTTGGTTGGGTACAGAATCACCTCAACGGTTGCTAGACCATCAGGTACAGTACCTTCCCCTGCCAAAAGGCAGCCGACTCACCTACCAGGTGCCTGATTACAGTCGCCTAAATAATTACTTGGTTTTAATCTTCTATGTCACTTCCTCCACAGGAGAGCCGATTCCTGGGTTAAGTCTACCTTGGCAATGAACAACTCGGTTGTTTAAAATCGACCTTTTGACCCTTTGGCTTCCCCATTTTGTTCCATCTTTTAGTCTTGACCCCAACAGGTTAACCTTTCATTTCTGGGTCCTGTGGGCAAGTGAGGAAGACATGGAACCTTTGGATGGTTTTGTTTTTCCGATCGCCAGCCGCCGAGGAGTGCGAAGGCGCCGTCTGCCGAGACAAGCTCGGCTGCGGAGGAGGCAGCGGAGGGCGAGCGGATGGTGGAGGTGGGCGCTTGAAAGAGAGAGAGAGAGAGGCTGTGGATGCACGAAGTCCAGAAATCTCACGAAATGAAACCGCTGGTTGAAGCCGTTGTTTGTTGGTAGTCAGGGTTGCCCCGCGGCGGTGCAGGATTTTGCCCATCCACAGTACCAGTTGGTGAGTCTTTCTTCTTGTTTTTTTGTTTGAGGGGGGGGGGGTGTAGGGAAGCCTTCTTCTTGGACCCTCCTTATTCTGGGTTTATCCGCTTATTTTGTAGCAGGGCCTGCGTTTCCCTTCATTTGGCTTTTTTAGCGGGGGGGGGGGGGGTCATGTTGTTATATGGACGGGTTAGCCTTAGTTGGTAGTTTGGATAGGTCGTTTGGGTTTGGATGTGAACCCCTGGCTCTTGTAGAGAGTAGATGGGGAACCTTGCCACCAAACCACCAACCGAAGCTGATATAAGGGGCATAACATATACGAATAGTTTACACCCCAGGATAAACAACCCCGTCCTATTGTCAGAGGTTGTCGGGCCCCACAAAAGCGTTCCGACCTCCCACAAGGAGTTGCTTTTCAATCAAAATCAACCAGATTACATTAAACATGTTCCCCGTATTTGGTCGCAATCCCTTGGGTTGATAGCCGGATCCGCTGACCAACGGGGATTGTTCTCGAGAGGCGCTGCAGCAGCGGCTTCGGGAGCAACGCGCTACCGCCGAGCGCCTGCGTGCGCAGATCGCCCAGGCGCGGTCGCGTCCGCCGGCGCGGGGGCAACTGGCCGTTTTGGGTGCCTTACGCAACTGGACCGGGGAAACGTCGCATGTTTTAGGGGGTGCCCAGATTTGTAGTTTAGGTGGGGCCGAAGGTCACTTTCAAATGTGCCGGAGGGGTGTTTGCAACCTTTGACTAGATGGCTGCATCCCCTTTTTTTAAGAGCCGCTGTTCGAGTCATGGACCTTGGACCAAACCCGCTGCTTGCACGGGAAAGACGGGCAATCCAAATGCATTTAGAGCCGTTTAAAGTTGGATGGTAAAGAACTTTTCTGCACACTTGGAATCATAGCATAGACAGGTGCGACACGCCAAAATGAAGTAAAAGCTGAGCAAGACGAAATTCTACTTCTTTCGAACATTTGGGATGATGTGACCTCACTCAGCCCTTTGGTTGAACAACAGTAGTATGAAACATGTGAAAGGTCGGTACCCGTTGTGGGCACATAGTGGCTGGCTCTGGAAATATGGGTAGATGGACAACATCCACGTACCAACTGGTGCAGGATCGTGCAGGATTTTGTCCATCCACAGTAGGTCTTTTACTTGGAAATCCAACTCTTATTTCAGGTGCTATTCTATTTGATAAATTGCAGTACAGGCTTAGAGGTTCCCCACCTGTGCATGGAAACCTAGAATGCTTTGCTCTCTGCAAACGCCAACCAATGGAAATCCATGGTTTGCCAAGCGGTGCGATTTTGTTGATTTCGCAGCCCACCGTACTCGATGCCTCCGGCCGGTTCAATCCATCCCGATTCGAAGCGATGCGCCGATCCGAGGCAGCATCAGAGGAGCAGAAGAGCCAGGAGCAGGAGCTTAAGCTCCTGGCTGAGGCACACCTGGCGGAGCAGGACACGGCAAGCTGTGCTTTAGCCATTTTCAGAGACGCCAAGGGCCGGGTACGGTTCCTTTTTTTTTGTTTACTTGTTTGTTGAGTTTGAGAGGTTCTTGTAGAGGGTATGGGGTGTCCAAGAAGCCAACTGACTGAGGTTTGCCTGGGCTCAGAAAAGCAAGTACTGTTGGTAGCCAGAAGTTCTGTCAGCCCAACACGAAAGGGGTCACCCATGTCTTTTTGTTTTCATGCACGGGGTTCATGCAAGCCTTAGGAATCCCCAAGTTCACGGACAGCTTATTCATTGAGATGACTTAAGTGCCACATATTGCCATTGTCCAGAAGTTAAGCAAGGTGATTTTTGCATCTTTGTTTCAATTACAAAAGCATACTGTGTGGAACATGATGGATAATTCAGAAACCACTGTTATGTACCAATTGAATTGCTCCAGGCCCCTACCTGGTTGGCCCGCACTCGGCGGCTGAGTGCTTCCGCATAGTTTACATATAGCGAGCTATGAAGGCCCATTACCTGGTGACCATTACTGGGCGATTCACTTCTATTTTAGGTGTTGGAAAACTTGTACAGCTTGCTGGTGACTCCCTCGTTTCTTCACTGCATGAGTGCTGTCGTGGGTCTGTAGGGTTTCCTATATTACCCCTGTTAGGTGCCTGGACCTTCATTCGTTACATAAATTTGTGTCCCTTGGGTGTTTCGTTGCATAAAATTGCTAATCGCACGTTTTTCGGGGGAACGGGCGCAAATTTGGATTCGATTATTTTGGCGTTGCGGCGGCTTCTCTCTTCTCGTAGAGATTGTTGCGTGGAAGCATGTGGAAGCATACCCGCAAAACGGGCGCAACTACCCGCAAAACGGGCGCAAATACCCGCAAAACAAGCCGCAACTCCAAATCATGTAGCAATTGGCATGTTGCAAGAAGCCCGTGTTCATGAAGCAAGCACTGTTTGGGGAACGAGCACTTTTTGGATCATTGGGCAAAACAAATAGTTGGCACGAGCATGTTTTTTTCGTGACACAAATTTATGTAACAATGGAAGGTCCAGGCGTGTTTAAACATCACCGTTTTGCGGTGGTGAGGGTGATGTTTTAGAGGGAAATATGGGGAGCCTCGTTTAGCCACAGGAGATGCGTCAGCTCAGGGGGGCACTGCGGCGTGAGGGCGCTCCGTGAGCCAGACCGAATCCTTTGTTTTAGTCCCCAAGTTCCTCTTTGGCCCATCCAGAAAGCGTCCCGCTGACGCGCCTGTTCAGATGCAACAATTTTATTGCGCAGGGTGTTTGCAGCAAACCTGTTTTGTTCTTTGCAAGTTTTTATGGCCAGCGACTTCACCAATACGAGGGCAACACGGGTTACTATGAATATTTGTTGTAGGTCCTTCACTTCGGAGTGCAAAAAGTAATTTAGGAGATTTCAGGTGCTTGAATCTTTTCTACCATGGGGTGCCCTGCTGTCCACGTTGCCATGGAGCATAACGGAGGGAAGACATTTCTTTCTTTAAAATTGACCATTTCTTTTGTGGGTTACGTGGCAACGCCGACAGGAGGGCACCCTTTTCTGGGACCTTGAAGGTCCAAAGCGGGCTTCGGTCTTTTTTCTCCCCAACAGCGATCGATCCGATGGCAGCTTATGGCGCTTGGGCTGGGGAAAAAATGGGCGGCGGACCGCCTTGCAATGGAAATGCAGGGGAACACTTCACCAAATAGCTTCATAGGGCTTAGGGCCTGTTGTGATACGATATGGGGTCGGGCCTGCAATATGAAACAGGATTATGTCCCACCAAGTTCAACTGCAAGTTAGTCCAGCAAGGTCTGTACACTTCCATGTTCGTTTCATGAGTTTTGCGGAAGCCTCGCCCATGCGGAAGCTCGAATACCAACTCCCTGGTTGGTTGTGATTGGTGAGTCTCACCTGCACCCCGTCAATGGAATTGGGGAAGGGTGGGGGGGTGATTTCTGAAGATCTGGAACAATTTGTGTGGCATGCCCATGCTCCAGTTTTCTTGAACAGAGGGTAGCCACTGCTGGACAATAGCCTGCACCGTCAAATCAGGGCTCACCTGCAACAGAGCGATTCGACCTTTTAGCCTTTCGGTTTTCCTTTTTTGGTCCATACTGTGGATGGACAAAATCCTGCACCACTTGGAAACCATGAGAAACCATTGTTTGTTGGTATGTACAGGGGAATCATCCGAAACCAGGTAGTCATGGGTTCACAAGGTGATCACCGGTTGGGCTCGGCGACTGAGTCGGTGGTTTCTCCGGGGATTTTATCCAACTGGTGCCCATCGGCCTGGGTTTTGGCAAAGCGCTGAGGCTCCAGCCCCGCCTCCGACGACTCACAGGCGATGGCTTTGAAGGGATGGTTTCATGCTTTGGTTTGCCAAGCAAACCAGGAGACAAACTTTCTGCCCTCCCACAAACCGAAGGCACCTGTGGGAGGGCACCAAGATGAATCTCCTTTTGGGGCACCTGTCAAGTGCCACGTTAGTGGGAGGAAGGGTAACTTTCTCATGCCCTTGCCCGTTCAAGGGCTGTTCTAGCTGAATGTCTGAATATTGTGCAGCTGGTACTTGGCACATAGCGGGGCCGAGCAAATCGGACCAACCCCAGAACCGCTTTCACGGGTACATTTGGCCTTGAATGTGAGACGTCCCAAGGAGGTCTCGTTTTAGAATGATCTTTCTGGCACTTTTTTCACCACCCTCTCCGAAAGCCTGACAATGTATGGGGAACCCCTAAAGGGCTGATGACTTGTTGGAGGTATGCAAGGCGCTGGTCCCAAAAATGGTGGGAAAGACACAACTCGGGTTGTTTGTGGAGCAGCGGCGGATGAACGCGGAATGCCCTGTGATTTACAATGTTTTCTGACTGGTTCACCTGCAATTTAGGGAATCCATCGAATCAACCGTCATTTTTAAAGCAAGCTGGAGTAGCCCTGGCCCGAGCACCTCCCAGCGGTAGGGCTGGTTGACAGCGGAGTCTCGGGAGATGAGTGCCATGGATCCGGCATTGGGTGTGCTCACCCCTCTGCTGCGGGTGAGTTTGGTTGCCCAGGTGATCAGACAGGAGCCCGACCTCGGGGGCACGCTGATGGAGGGCATCAATCCTCGGCAGCACTTCGTGGTGAGCCCCTCCATCCAGGAGACCGGACTGATCACGCTCTTCAATGCGGAGCTCACTGCTGCAGTACCCCAACCTCGGCTTCTTCTTGATGCTCGATCGGGATGGGCTGGACACTTTAAGCCCACCTTCGGGGACTTCTTCCAGCTCAAAGAACTATGTGCTGGAATTGGGGGCTTCTCTCAAGGAGCCAACTTTGTCGGGATCAAGACGGTGGCCTGCCTGGACCACAGCGCCCTGGCCTGTGCTGCGCTTCGTCTTCAGGGACACTACACTATCCAGAATCCAGGCCGACATCGAAAATCAGGAGGCGCTGCAAAAGTTCCATGCAGCCGGCAACGCACGGCCAAGCCTAATTTCTGCGGGCTTTCCATGTCAGCCCTACAGTGCGCAGGGAGACCAACGAGGGCTACAAGACTCAAGGGGAAACACTCTCCGGTCAATCCTGAAGGCTTCCTGGCTACTCCAATCGGTTGGCCTTATCCTGGAATGCGTCCGCTACTTCTCCAAGAATACGCTCAAGGGCGCAACTGGCAGATCCACGCCACCACCCTGGACCTTCAGGACCAATGGGCCAGTCGTCGGAAGAGATGGTGGTGCATCATGATCCCCAACGACGAGCGTGTCCCCTTTCGCTTGCTCCCCTGGCCTGCCAACAACTCATTCCCGAATGTCGGCTCTGTCATCCAGGAATGGCCCATCTGGCCAGACGAAGATGAAGACAATCTAGCCGGACCCCTGAAGAGGAGGCCAAGTACGGCAACCCCGACTGGATCTTCGGCATCTCAACCTGGCAGCGCCGACTCCCACGGCCCTTCACTCATGGGGAACAGCCTTGCAGGCCTGCCCATGCGGATGTCGGTCTGGACCTCTGGCGGACCACCGCCTTCGACGACACGGACTCCGAGGCTTCGCCCTCATCTCCATGAGCACCGGCAAGAAACGTTGCATCCACCCCACAAGGAAGCCGGATTCCTGAACACGTGGATGCCTTCAGCACCACTACCTCACCCAACACGTCACGCTCTTTGCCTGGTTGGCCAAATAGCGGCTCCTCTCCAGGCTGTCTGGATCTTCGCACATATAATTTGTTAATGTTGAAACGCATGTGGAAACATGAACTGTGTTTGAAATGCTTGACCATAATGGCGCATGCCATTTTGGCTCAAGCTTGCCCTGGGTTCTTTGAACCCAAATTGTGTGAAAAATTTCTGCTGTTTCGAACCTAACCCCGACCTAGCAATGGCTTCCTCGGCAACCTCGGCAACTTCCTTTGAGTTAATTGAGGACCAGACGCTCACCGCGGAGGAGGTGGAAATGGCCAGCCAGGAGGCCCAGGAAATTCGCACACGCGAGGCGGCAGTGGCGGCAGGCCTGGTGTTGGACGAGCCCGAGGCCCCCCGTCGGCTTCGGCTACCGACGTGATGAACGACCTCTCCAGTGCACTGGAGCGTCTCCGTGTGGCGTTTGCCACACCGACTTCCGGCTTGGGTGCCCCTGGCCCCGCCGAGGAGGAGGACAAGGACATGGAAGAGGCGGACGTCGCGGAGCGGGATACTCCACCCACGAAGAGGCTGAAGGGTTTCGTGGCGGCTTCCCAGAAGACCACGGCTCATGTGAACAAACCGGTCTCCCTGGTGCCGGTGGAGGGCCGTCCCGGCTACTTCAAGTTAGTGGACCTCCCAGACCTTTTCCCGGTCCTTCCGGCATCGGCGGCCACGTTGCTGAGGGACGTCACGGTGGAGGAGGCGGTCTCCCTGTTCCACAAGTTTGTTGGGAAGAACCTCACGGAGGACTTGGTGATTCGCATCCTGGAGGCCTATGTTCCGATGAAGATCCAGATCCGGCAGGAGGAGGTCTGGGCCTCACAGTTCCAGAGGAACAAGGCGTGCATTGGCACCCAGCGGATGCACAGACTCGATGCAGGCCACTCAGATTACAAGTTCATGTGCAAGGCATGCGGTACGGGGTGGCCCGAGGCAGCTAAGCAGTGCTGGATCTGCCAGTTCGTCCCCTTCCAGGCACCCTCGGCTACCTATGAGGCGGATGGAATCACCTACAACCTGATCATTGTGGAGGGCAAGCCGACGTGGGTCCAGCAGCGAAAAGGGGGAAGCCTGGGTGCCTCTGGCCCCGGTGGTACCCGGGCACAGGCAGACCGCAACCTGGTGGACGGCACGGGGGAGAGCTCCTCCGAAAACGGACACGGCAGAGGAGATCACCATGGCAGACCCACAGGCGGGTGGACATCCGGCAGGAGATCCTGTCGATGGACGATGAGGCGTTGAAGGTCCGTGAATGCCAGGAGATCAAGGTCAAGGTGCAGCGGTCCCTGAAGGAGGCGGAGGCTCAGAGTTTCCAGCTCTACCACCCCCAGGTGGACCAGGCGATCCGGAAGAAGGAGGAGCTGCATAAGGCCTTGAGCATCGGGAACCGACCCCCCAGGCGACGGCACAAGGAGTTGGTCACGGAGGAGATGCTGGACAATGAGATGGCTATCCTGGCGCCTCTCCAGGAGGGCATGCAGGCCCTGCCGTCAGAGGAGGTGGCCACCCTCAGGAAGGTCAACCTGGAGCGGTTCAAGGCCAAGCTGCGGGACCAGTACCTGGAGGGGAAGGGCGCTGACGCCAGCCAGGCACTGGCTGAGGCGATGGGCTCCATCCAGGAGGCTCAGCGCACCCAGGACACCGGATGCTTAACCACACCCTCAGGCCCTTGGAAGTGTTGGCGTGGCCAGATGATCTGGAGCTGGATGACCCCGAGGACATCCCCAACGTGGGAGACATCAAGGAGAAGTATGTCCCCTACATCAGAAACCTCAGAGAGTCGCAGAACCCATGGAACCAGGAGGCGCTGCTGGAGGAGATGCCCGATCTGGCGACACCGGCCCCCTCCAAGGGTGCCACTGGCCCCGGGACCAGCCAATGTCACAGCAGGACCTGGACTCGGAGGAGGGCAAGCTGTCCCTGCTTCTCTGGGCGATGAAGAGGCACCAGGGGGAGCTACGGATGTTTGGGGGGATCTGGAAGAAGCACTCAAGCGGTGAGATCC